CATGAGAAACCCTACACACCTGTCAGAATGGCTACAACCCAAAACACTGACAGCACCAAATGCTGACAAAGATATGGAGCAACAGGAACTTTCACTCATTGCCAATAGGAATGCAAAATGATGCAGCCACTGTGGAAGACAGCTTGGCATTCCTTACAAAGCTAAATACACTCTCACCATACAATCCAGCACTGTGCTTCTTGGTATTTCCTCAACTGATAAACATATGACTTCACCCAAACCTGCACACAAATGTTTATAGCGGCTTTATTTATAACTGTTGAAACTTAGATGCAAACAGGTGGAACACAGGGTATTATTAGAGCAGTGGAACTCTTCTATACGGTACTAGAATAGTATACACATGTCACTACACACTTGTTAAAACTCATGAGATATACAACACAAGGATGATCCCTAATATCAATTATGGTCTTTACTTAATAACAACATATCAATATGGCCTATTAGTACTGCTAGATGCTAAGATCTGGAGAAATTGGTGAGAGGAGACACACAAAGGAACTGCTGGTTGATTTCAGCCAGCTGTTTCATAAACCTAAAACCACTTTAAAACAGAAAGCATGTACTAAGACATGACTGCAGGAAACCTGACAGCATATTCAGGTAACAGCTGAAATACATGACGGGTGAGAAGAAAATGATGAGTAATGACACTAAAAAAGTAAGAATATTAAAGTAAGGTATATATGGATTTTAATGCATGTCAAGGTTTGTTCGTAGTTGTATAGTCAACTCTGTCCTTTAAGAAATAATTTTCTTGGGAATAAATATGGAATTGAGTGAAAAGAAGTTTAGAAGAAGTAAGACAAACTAAGAAACTATGGCATCAATTAAAGTAAGGGGTGATAAATACAGGCGTAAGACCAGTCCAGAGTCCCAACCCTATTAAATGAGTTGGATTTGTTGAACTGGAGGAAAAAAAAATGGATCATCTCCATGGTAACCAGAAGAGAATGACATTATAAAAAGAGATTCCGTAAAAGTGAAGGCTATAGGTAACTATAATAATAATTTCCTTCCCTTCAGTAAATCATGGAAAGCAGAATAGATTCCTTTTATGATATGGGCAGCTTAGCTTGAAATCAGAGGCGTGAATTACACAGGCTTTTATAGATAATATTCTAAGTGTATACGAAAATCATGCAGAGCAGGTTGGTTTTGCCACTAGATTGCTTACTATAGTACCTTTAGAAAATAATTAACCACCACTGAATACATAAGTCCCTGCTTCTTCCAAGTTGTCCTTGTGAGAAAGGGCTCAATTTCCCATCAACACCACATTTCAAAGCATCTGTCCATGTGACCTTGTGACTATTGACCTGGGGCTGAGTTTTGAATCCACTGCTTGTTTTCTCTGTCCACAGCATCTTGATGTAGAGAATAACTTCCTCTTGACAGGCAGTCACATGAGCTTATTACACCAAAGTTTCAGCACCTCTGAAGGCTGCCAATCTCTTTGAAGTGCCCTCTCTCCCTCCAGGAGAATGCTCACAATGAATCTGATGAAAGCCACATAGCTTATATTTTGAATATCAAAGTTAGTAGCATGCCATTCATTAGCTATCGGAGGGGTGCTATGTTAACAGATAAACACACAGAAGTGTGTGTGTGTGTGTGTGTGTGTTCAGGGGGATGGGAGGGAGAGTCAGCTTTTCATGACTACAACAAAATAGTTGAGGCAGGCCACTTTATAAAGAGTTTATTTTGGCTCAAGATTCTGGAGGTTCCAAGTCCAAAGAGTATAGAGCTGGCTTTGGTGAGGGTGCCCCTGGCTGCAGCACATAATGGCAGGAAATCACAAACGGCCTCTCCACCTGGTTTTCTCCCTTGCTCCATGTATTCAGCCACCAGGAGTTGGTCATGTTGGCTCTACCCCAACATCCAATCTCATCACTTCTCAAAGGCTCGAGCTGTCAATATCACAACTGGCTTAAATTCCTTTTCTCTTAGTGCCATTAACATCAGATTTTGAGGATTAAACTACATGAGTTTTGGGGGAAAATATTCAAAGCACAGCAGTATAAGCCAAGAGATTATAAGTGACGGAATCTGAGTGGTGGTAGAAAGAGCCGGAAGTCCACATTGCAGCACCTGGGTAAGCGATGATGTCATTAGCCAGAGAACAGTAGGTTAAAAGAGTACAACTATGAATTTAAATTCAGACATACTCAATTTGACAGAGCTGTGGAAACCAGAAGAGAGAGAATTTCAGTAAGCAGCAAGAAACGAGGGACTAGAAAATCAAAAGAATGGAAGCTGAAGATATTTAGCAGGTATTGATCCATGAGGGACGCCTGAAGCTGGAGAAGCAGATGGAAGTGCCCCGGAGATCAGCGAAGAGAAGAGGAAGCGTGTCTAGGTCAATCTGAGGTCAGAAAGAAAGTAGATACGATGAGAAGCAGCCATGGCCTTGGTTAAAGTGAGAGGGGCTGTTGACGGTTTAATACTAAAAGTTGAGGGGCTGGCACTGTGGCACAGCAGGTTAAAGCCCTGGCCTGAAGCACCGGCATCCCATATGGGCCCTGGTTCTAGTCCCAGCTGCTCCTCTTCCAATCCAGCTCTCTGCTGCGGCCTGGGAAAGCAGTAGAAGATGGCCCCAAGTCCTTGGGCCCCAGAATCCACGTGGGAGACCTGGAAGAAGCTCCTGGTTCCTGGCTTTGGATTGGCACATTTCTGGCCATTGCAGCCATCTGGAGAGTGAACCATCGGATGCAGGACCTCTCTCTGTCTCTACCTCTCTCTTTAACTCTTTCAAATAAATAAAATAAATCTTTAAAAAAAATACTAAAAGTTGAGGATGTGTGGAGGGACATTGCAGGGTAGTCTCTAACCTGGTTATTACATGGATGCTCACATGAGGGGAATCACAAGAATCATGATGTTTTTATCTTGGAAGACTTGGAGGAAGGAAACACCAGTCACTCTTCACGCATTCAAAAATGACACAGGGAGCACCACCTATGGGCTAGACATCGTGACAATGACAGAATGAGAACCAGCAACGAGCCAGGATTTACACGCCTTGAGTTTGAAGTCATCAAGGTGAAACTATCTGGCAAGCAGAAACAATGAAGAGCCAAGGAAAGAGATTGCTCTACAGAGGTCAGACTGGGGGGCCGGCACAGTGGCCTAGTAGGCTAACCCCCAACTGTGGCGCCTCATCTCATATGGATTCTGGTTCAGGACCTGGGTGCTTCACTTTCTATCTGGCTCCATGCTGATGGCCTGGGAAAGCAATGGAAAAACGACCCAAATGCTTGAGACCCTGCACACCTGTGACAGACCCAGAAGCAGCTCCTGTCTCCTGGCTTTGGATGGGTCCAGCTCTGGCTGTTGCAGCCATTTCAGGGAGTGAACAAATGGATGGAAGACCTTTCTCTCTATCTCTCCATGTAATTCTACCTCTCAAATAAATAAATAATTTTTTAAAATAGAGGTCAGACCTGAAGTCCCATTGATAGATGAATCGATAAGGTAGAAAATAATGGAATGCCTCTATTGTTAAAGTATGAACATATAGGTAATACCTAGGGGTACTATTTGTGGAAAAGGGGGAAAGGAGAAGCAGCCAGTGGAGAAGCAGAAGGAATAGTTGGTCAAAGAAGAGCTCTAGGACAAGTTTCAGAGAGGCCATGGAGATAGGTTTTCAAAAGGTAAGCAAGCTGTAGTTCAAATCCCACAGCCTTGTCAAGGCAAACGAGCTGCCAGGGGCAAGTGTTGAATTTTCCCTGGTGTGGAATAGACAGGATGGAAAGCCAATTACAGACAACTACAGATACAGTTGATGCTCCTAGTCCGGACTTTAAGATGGGGCCAAGGATTGTGCAAAGCATTTTCAGAATACTGCAAACTTCAGAGCTTTTGCAAGCCCAGAATAATGAACGATGGAATAAAAAGAAAATGAAAACACCAGAGAAGAGAAGATAGAAAAATAGCCTAGAGGAAGTGAGACAACATGGGGCCACAGGACTTGGGCAACATCCAAGCAACATATGCCTTCCCTGTGAGGTGAATTCTCATTAGCCTCATTTATAATGACTTGGGAAGACTGGAGCGAAGCATTTCACGCAAAAGAGAAAGAGCATCTTCTTTTTATGTAGCTTATTCTTAGTTACACAATGTTCCAATGGAGAGGATGATCCCTAATTCTCCAAAAATGAGTCTCTACCATATTAGCTCATCCCCTCCTATGCAAAACTAAACAGGAATACTGGCACCGCTGCTGTGTGCTATGTGGGACGCTCGCCTTCTCGTGAATTAAATAGAAACTTGGAAGAAAATAGATCATTTCTAACGGACTGTAATATGGGGGTGTGGCAGGCAGCAGGTGTGTTGTTCTTTTGCATGCTGTTCAGGGTGGGGGCAGACCCCGCTCTCTTGGAAAAAGGATGATTGACTGACGACCAGGAAACCAAGGCGTCTGTCCAAGAAGCATCCTTCCTACCCATTTATTCTGACTGCGACGTGTCTTCTTTTCTCAGCTCTGGCTGGCCTCAACTGCAACGCATGTGGCCCCTAGTTCTTGTGTACTTGTACCTGAACCCACTTTCTTTTGTTATTATGTCCCAAGTGGCTGATTTGTTTCAGTCTGCTCTTATTCCATCACCAGGAAATCCAGAAATGTGGCAGCGTCTCTCGGCGCCGAGAGTGACACAGGACACCCACACAAGTTTACAAGGACTTGTAAAAGTCCTAGCAGCTACCGAGAGCTGGGCAAACGATGCCGGGAGCGCACAGCCCTGACAGCACCGCCAAGCCCCCAGCCTCAGGTAGCAGCACGGGCCGCCGGTGTTGCCACAGTGAGATATGCCATACCGAGCTCCACGAGGAGATGCCACATGGGGAGCGAACGCCACGCGCGCACAGGTCCACAGGAAAACAGCACACGCAGGAGACGGGCTGGGTGTGCAACCGAGGCGCACACCGCGCGGCCCGACCCCGGCCCTCCCCGCGCACCCGCACGCCCAAAGCCTCACCAGTCAGCCGGGTAACTTTCCAGGTGCGCAGCTGTCACCCCCGTGCCGCGGCCCCTGCGTCTCGGTGTCCTCTCCCACGCTGCCCTCCCCAGCCGCTCGCGGCGCCCGAACCCACAGCAGGTCAGCTCAGTGCGCCGGGGCCGTGCACACGGGGCGCAGCGCGGGCCCGGGGCTGCCGGGGCTGCCGGGGCTGCAGGAGCCGCCGCTCGCGCTGTGTGCGAGCTGGGGGCGCCGGCGAGCGCGCTGCGGGCAGGCGCTGCGGCGGCGGCGGTGGCGTCGGTGCTGCCGCCTCGCTCCTCCGCGGGTGCCGGTGCAGAGGAGGCCAGCAGGGAGGGAGGAAGCAGGGCGGGAGAGGAGGAGGAGGAGGAGGAGGAGGAGGAGGGCGGGGGTCAGGGCGGGCTGGCGCGCGGACTAGCAGAAGCCGGCTTCCCCAGAGGTGGGGTCACCGGCGCGCGCACCCACTTCAGCCCGAACCGTTCCTCCCGAGACGAGCCCGCGGCCGGCCCCGCTGCAGTGTGCGCTTGAGAGCCCATGCCCTCCGGCGGAGCCTCCTTAAGTAGGGCGATAACGCCATGGTCGTAAGCAATTTTTTTTTTCGTGTCATTATTTCTATTTCAAGTGTGCGCGCTGGGGAGGAGGGGGGGAGCAGAGGGAGGAAAGTTCAGGGAGTTTCCTCTTCCTGGCCCTCCCTCTCCCGCATCCCTCTGTTCTGTTTCCACAGCAGCCTCTCGCCACCTCGCCCTCCGGGCCCCGGACCTGCTCTCCTCGGTGGGACCCGGGGCAGCGTGGCGCCGCGCCCTCCGCGCGCTCCGGAACCTTAACCTGTCCCTGGGTTGCCAGTTCACGCGACGGTAGGGGCCGCGGTGGAGCCGAGTCGAGGGACAGACAGGAGCCCTCCCGCCCCTGCGTGTTGACCGGGAGCTGCCTTCCCCACCTCTCCCCCCTGGCCTCTGGAGTCCCTGGTTTGGTTTTTCCCCGCCTGAGGCGTGCATTATGGTTTTCTAAATATATATATTCGCCCCACCGCATTATTTGCTGTGCTCTGGAGTGGCGAGGTCTCCGGGTGGCGTTTCCCTTTTCCTCCTGCCCCGGGAGGAATGTCACCGGCAAACCCAACGGCGGACAAGGGCAGTTTCTGTGTCGAGGCGTGGGCCATACAGTGAGGGTCTATTCTTCACCCAGCGTCCAGAGGCTGTCAGAAGCCGGCTGCGCCGGGGGTCCGAGCCGCAGGCTGGGAGAGGCTCCCGCTCACTGGCGGACGGTATCACACACACAAACTTACCTTCCGACCGTGCTGAATGGGGTCCTTGCATTTCCGAGGATGGGGAGTATAGCCCTGTTTGTTTCTGTGCTGAGGAAAAATAAGCAAAAGTACAAAGTACTTTTTCATGACCTTAGGCCAGAATCTGTACATTTCAGGCAGGTCCATAGGAGCCTGGCCATAGGAGGCCGGGGTGAGAAATAAGAAAAGGGAAGATAATGAAGTCCAGCGATGGACTTTTAAGTCAATGGACTGGATTTTTTGTTGAGCAGGTAAATGACAAAGAGGAGAAAAGCAGAGATTTTTTTTTTTCAAAGTCTACATTGTATTAGTCCAGGTTTTCTCAAATCGTGAGTCGCTAATTAGTAAGTCCTAGCAGTGATCTATTGAGTCAAAGCTAGTAATGTATAAATAATATGGAAAGACTGAAAAGCAGAGCATATCACACACAAAGTGAGAGTTAACAGTTCTGATAAGTCTTGGTGCAGTCAAACCTGCAGGCTGACTACCTGATGCGTGCTGTCTCACTGCTCCTTGCGGCGGAAGCTTGAACGCCGCTGACACTGCTGGCTGCAGCCCAGGGCTACTCGCCCGGTCGGATTTCCAGGGGATCTTAGGGACCACCTAGCAATCCCATACTTTCCCAGCTGTGCCATGATGAAGCTGGAGAAGAAGACAGAATAGGAAGGGGAAGGGGCGGAGGCCAGTGGGCATTTTTACATCCTTTCTTTAGTATTTCAACAAATACGCTTTCGGCAGCCCCTTTGTCCTAGGCCCAGTGCTGGAAACTAGGAATTCAGTGATGAACAATTTGTAGAATCCTGGGGACAAACAGATGTTAAACATGAAAGTAACTATATGTGTGAAAATAATCTGGAGGAGAATAGGAGAGAGAAAAAAAAACACAGGTTCATCATTTAGATGGGGGAAGGTGCACTTAATAATTAAGCCAATTTAAACTGGCTTGAATGATAGATTTATGGATGCATATCACAAGAAGTCCCAAGGTCAGGAGGCTCCGCTGGGTGAATTGAGCAACTTCACGAAGTCACGGAAGGACCTGTGCTGTGTCCCTTAGCTCCCCTGCCTTTCTTACAGGCAGCTGTGCCCCAGGAGGGCTAGAGCACCCCCTGTTTTTCCAGACAATACTGTCAGTGCCCAAAGGTAGCAGACAGCGTCTCTTTGCAAGAATGGAGAAATCTTTCTCAGAAACTTCCAGGAGACTTCCCCTGCCTACCCCTAAGTCACCAGGAACAGAGGGGAGAATGGCTGTGATTGACTTGGGCTCTTCAGGATCTTGGCTCCTGAACCCTCCAGGATGGCATTGTTTAGGACGAGAGACACAAAATAAAGAAGGTGGCAGTGGTGTTAAGTCGACAAACCAGAGTCTGCAACAGGAACTTGAAAAATAACATTTAAATTTAAGATGTGTAAGAGTCAGACGGGGTGTGAGTAGAAGCACCTTCGAGCAGAAGGAACCTTCTGTATGAAGTCAGACTCTGCACCATGTGTTAAAGACTTGGCTTGCAATTCCTCATTTACTCTGTCTGCCAAAATAGGTAAGTGTACCTCAGGAAGCAAACCCGGAGAGCTAAAAATCTTCATCAGGTTCACAAAGCTAACAAGTTGCAGAACCAGGCTGTGTAGTTACAGAGCCTCCAATTTTGACTTGTGCTTCTACAGAGGCAGAAGCCAAAATCCATGGGCCTTTGCCCTCCATTCACCCCTCTGTGATGGTTCCCTGGGCCACTGGCTGTGCAGGACACACATCCAGGAGTCAGGCTGCTCCTGCTAGTTGTGCGCCTGCTCCATTGGGCATCATGGTCTCTACTAAGCATGGTCACCAGAGCCCTAGGGTTCTTGTGATGCCGAGGCTCAGAGGTAGCCTATGGAGATGGCGAGGGTAATTTTAGGAATGTCCCCCACGTGGCTCCAATATTTTCCAGATGTCTCTCAGTTTCTCCTACTTTCCCTTTCTTTTAAGAATCTGCATCCAAGGGGCTGAGCTGGGGAATGAGTCCAGGAAGGCTCCCGTGCTGAATTCAGACTCCTAAGCCCCTGGGTAACTAAACTGTGCTTCACGCTTATCCAACCTGAATCCCATTTCCTTGGGCCTCATTTCTGCACAGGAGGTTCTGTAGTTGCCCTTGTATTATCAGGCCACCGATCAGAGCATCCCTGAGCTCACAGCCTTTGAACTTGCAACTCAGAATCCTCCACGGCTCAAGCTGAGCCTCCATCTTTGTAGCACCAGCAGCTCTGCCTGGGACATAAGGGACAAAACCCCCTTTGTGGGTGTCCGCACTCTGTCTTTCCACCGTCTCTTTGGTTTTGCTCCCTTCTCCCCTTCACACTTTCATGTATCTTCAGGCTTGCTTATCATTCCACAGCGACCCCAAGAGCAGCCATTTCCATTGCAGATCCTACAACTTCAGGTTCTCTGTGGCCTTCGTTCTGATTGGCTTGGCCAATCACTTTTCCAACCCAGGAAAGGTGCCATTTGCTTTTGGGGCTCGTGCTGCCCAGGTTTCCACATCACTGCTGTGAGATCCCTGTACCAACAGACTCCAACAGAGTTCTCATAATCTCTACTTCTTCCTTGAAGTCTCACTGACCGTGCAGGATGGTGGGTCTCTCCTCTGGGATCCCATGGCAATCGGGTGATGCGAGTTGCTTACACCTGTTAACGTTTCCATTATTTATTAGACTTCAGAGCAATATTTGTTGGATTAATTCTTAGGCCTTCAGAACACTCAGCAGCTCAAGTTTCTTCATTGTTTAACAACAACTTTTAGGGAACCAGTGTCATGGCATAGTGGGTTAAAGTCATTGTCTGTGACACAGGTATTCCATATGGGCACTGGTTGGAGTCCCGGCTGCTCCATTTCTGATCCAGCTCCCTGTTAATGGCCTGGGAAAAGCAGCAGAATATGCCCAAGTGCTTGCCACCCCCCACCCCCACACATGTGGGAGACCCAGAAGAAGCTCTTGGCTTTTGCCTGGCCCTTCCTTGACCATTGCAGCCATTTGGGGAGTGTTTAAACCAGCAGATGGATGTCTCTCTCTCTCTTTCTATCCTCCTCTCTCTCTAACTCTGACTTTCAAATAAATAAAATAATTTTATTAAAAAAGTCAATTTTAAAATCACATTCTTTATTCTACTGTCTATTTTTTAAATGTTTACCAAGATTTAAAGAGACTTTAAGATAAAGAGAATCCAACACATGTTGTCTCCACTCTTTGCATGACAGCTCATTGCTAATATCATGTAACCTTCCATGCCCGGCATTGGAAGCATCATTCTCAATTCCTGTCTTCTCTTTCCAAGAGGACGGTGGCCTATCAGTTACCAACACTCTCCTTCATGGTCCTTGGTGGGGAGGAGAGTAAGCCGTATCAGCATCAGCTCAGGGCACACGTGGGCTGTTTCCCAGCGCTCCGCAGGCAGCAGCCAGAACCTCCACGTGTCCACCACTTGGAATCAATCCATCTTGCCCATATACATCTTTTTTTTTATTATTTGACAAGTAGAGTTATAGACAGTGAGAGGGAGAGACAGAGAGAAAGGTCTTCCTTCTGTTGGTTCACTCCCCAATGGCTGCTACGGCTGCACGAATCCAAAGCCAGGAGCCTCCTGGTCTCCCATGCAGGTGCAGGGGACCAAGCACTTGGGCCATCCTCCACTGCCCGCCCCCGGGCCACAGCAGAGAACTGGACTGGAAGAGGAGCAACAGGGACTAGAACTCAGCGCCCATATGGGATGCTGGTGCCACAGGCGAAGGATTAACCAAGTGAGCCACGGCACCAGCCGGCCCATATCTTTCTTGAATGCTCTTCCTTCTCTATTCCCATTCCCACTCAAGCCAAATCTTCCCAGGATTCTGTCTTTGGCAACAATCTCTTCTCTTTCTCCGCCACATCCCAATCACAACTTCTAAATGTCTTCACTTTCTCCCCCAGTACCACACTTTATCAGCCTTTTAGATGGTTTTTGCCACTTTCTACCTTGTATTATTGTCACCTTTCTACATTTCTTATCTCCCCTGACAAACAGGTGTTGACAGGGCATGGTTCACATCTGATTCATCTTGCTATATGTCTCCCAGAACCCATAGCAGGCACAGCCATAGAGTTGATAGAGAACCTCAACTCACGACCCAGAAGCACTGTACTTATGTTCCTGAAATTCTATACCAGGAATTTGGAGGGTGATCTTGATTTTCCTTTTGGAATAAAGACAGTTGTTTGAAAGAATGGTACTTAATTTAGAAATTAATAATCCGCTTAATTATCAATCAAGTAATAGTAAATTTTACTATAACAAACTGAAATACAAGTACATTTAATTTTCTGGTTTTATCTGCCCTGACTTGCCTAACTAGGGATACTCTTTCTCGTTATAGGAATCCATGAAGTAATATAGCTGGTGTATACAGTCTATTCACCAGACTCCCAGTGTTTGCTCTTCCACCATCCTGCACTATTTCAAAGTCCACATAGACCACCCATGCAGCACTTCACCTTCTCGACACTTTAGTCTTCCAATAGCCAACATTTCCTTTGTCTCGATCAGCTTCAGCCACCCACTCCCACAGTCACACCTGCAGTCGCCACTAAAGTCACTGATGCTAAGGGTGGGTGTGTGTGCACCCAAGGCTAAGACCTTTGCTTTGCTTCTCAGCATGGGGCTCATAGTTGTAAGGCCAAGGCTAGTGTTGTCATTGACCTTGGCCTTCCTTGGATTAAGGGCCAGCCAAGCATGGCCTCCATAACACGCACCGTGGAGGGAGCAGAGCCTCAGTAGCTTCAGCCCCCTGGGATGGCTTGACTGAACCCACAGAGGCTTTGGCTTCCCCAGCTGCTACCTGGAAGGACCCAAAACACAACCCAGAAATATGGTGGAGCTAATATCCTGTGGAGTTGACTTTGACCACTGAGGGACAGGAGCCAGGAACAAGACAACAGGTACATTGTTCACCCTTCCTGCCCACCCAGGAGCTGTTCAGAGAAGCCACAGTTTTGTGCTTGGGGCTGTGTAGCATGACTCAGCAGCCAGTTTTGTTGTGTAGAGAAGCCGGAGACAGGTCACTAATGTACCACCTTGAATTAGTCTTTTCTCCGTCTCTCTCTCTCTCTCATTTCCCTTTTATCTCTCCTTAGGATAACACCCCAATAAAATCTCAGCATGTGAAAGCCTTGGCCTCTGTTCTCTAGAGAACTCAGAATAAGAACAGACATTCTATCCTGTGACCACAACTTTCCGTCTTCCAAGTTTATTTGCTCAATTACATTCTCCTCACATGTTGCTGACCTTAGGGTGACTGCTAGTTTTTCTATTTACTTGTTTTCTGTCTTTGCTTGCAGCTTAGTAAGCAGTGCATTATGTCACATTCTTGCCCTCGACAACCAGGTGAAGCCTGCTTTTTGCCTTCTTTGTTGTACTTGGATGACGAGTGCCAGTAGAATAAGGCCTACATGGACTCTGTTCTCATAAACTTAAACTTCAGGTCAATGGCAGGAAATTAGTATTGCAAATTCATTCTAGAGAGGCATCTGGCAGGCTTGATCCCAATTACAAATATGTACAATCCATTGGCAATTCTACTTCTGAATACATAAACAGCCAGGGATGGGCCAGGCCAAAATCAGGAGCCAGGAACTCAATCCAAGTCACCCACATGGGTGGCAGGGACCCAACTACTTGAACCATCACCTGCTGTCTCCTAGGGTACCCACAAGCAGGAACCTGCAATTGGGTGCCAGAGTGTGGTATCAAAACCAGGCACTCTGATATGGAGTGTAGGTCTCCTAGCTGCTAGACCAAATGCCCCACCCCTACTGTAAATTCTTGTTATCAATTTCATCCAGGTCCCAAATGGTTTCTAGTAATCCTGCTTAATTTACTCATCATTTAGCTATTAAACTGTAAATGGC